ACCTCCTCCCAGGCCCAGGTTGGGGCCTCCTGTGGGGTAGCAGGTGGCTGCCAGGGAGCCTTCAGGGCTAGGGCCAGGGGCTAGGCAGTGGTGGGCATGCATGAGACCACCAGGCCCAGGCCAGTGTTCAGGGTCCAGTGGTCATTGTCCGTGGCCTCCATGGCCCAGCCTAGGATCCTATTTTGGTCCCACAGGACCTGGATCTGTTCCTACTCCAGGACCAGGAGCATAACCCCGTGCTCTCAGTGCACGCCTCACCCTGGGCCATGTCCCCCTGGTGCCACCTCTCCTGGTCAACCAGGTCCTCCTTCCACAAGGCTGATGCATTGTTCACCCACTCCGCCACCACCACCAGCCACTGGAGGAGGAGGGTCTGGTCCTGTGTGCACATCTGGCACAGTCAGCACATCCAGAGGGCTCCAGTGCTGGGTGGCAGCATTCCTGAGCCTGCATCCTTACTGGGCCCTGTGGTCCCTCCCTCACATCCTGAAGCTGGCCCTGCAGAGCCAAGAGACAGAAGTCTTTTGTGCATGTTTGCAACATTTCACAAATAAGATGCTCTGCGCCAATGGCCATGCACTGCCCCACCTCAGATTGGAGGTCAGCCATGCATGGGTGCCCAGGGACCATGGTAAATTGGCCAGGCAGGCCCAGGCCCAGGCAACTGCTGCCCGAGACCCCATCCCTACATGCTCCCCTGGGCCGGTGGCCCGCTGGGTGCTGGCCACAGGCAGCATCCGCCCCTGCTCCTTTCCCAGGGTGACACAGGCCAGGCTGTTGGCACCTGCTGCCACAGCTCCAACTCTGCTTCCCCCCCTCTCTCCCCCTGTAGGCCAACCACTCTGCAGCCCTGCCACCCAGCCCAGTGCCCAGGCTTGGGGAGCGCACGGCTCTCAGACAACTGGAGCAAGGAGCTGGCTATGCCCCTGCCCTCCCCACAGGGGGCTTCTCCAAAGAGATGCCCTAGAGCTGACACCACCCCCCAGCACACCACCACTGCACCCTGAGTATGCCCCTGCTGCACATGCCCTGGCCAGTGCATGATGAGCTGTTTCTGCAGACTAAGGGGTGCTCAACCCACTATGCCCTGCTGATGATGATCCTCCTGGTGCCTCAAGTGAACCTGCACACCTGATATGGGACCATGAGCTATAACAGCAAGAGGACAAGCCCAAGATTCTCTGCAACCTCTGCCACCACTTGGAGGGCTACCTCTGACTGTGCTACACATCCCTACCTCCCACTACT